CTTGTATCAATAGGTGTCAATTTCTTAAGAAATTTCAACAATGTCAAAAAATTATTAAAAAAATATGGAAGCTAAAACATAATATTATAAAAGATCTGTAGAAGTCTGTTTATGATTTGGTCATATTATGACTCCAGAAATAAATATTGACTTTTTAAGGTAAAAATTTCTTAAAAGAAAATTTTTAGGTTTTACAATTAAAGACTCCTTTACACTCCTTCCTTCTTTCCACACTATTAAAGACTCATAAATAGGTACGAAAGAGCAACTCTACAAGATGTATCTTCACACACACACACACTCACTCACTCTAGTCTCTCCCTAGTTACATCCTTATAACATGAACACCAGGCCTTCTATTTATAGTGTGGAAAGAAGGAAGGAGTGTAAATCATTATCATGTCGATTCACCACTCATCGCTTTAGTTCATCGATTAAACCATATCCAACAGTCTTATTAATAGTGCTAGGGTGATTTGGCATTACGAAGGTCAACTATGCACTATGGTGATCCCCATGTAGTGCCTCAATGCTAACCTCTAGCACTCATCCAAGACTTTGACTACTGCATAAATGGTCTGTTGACATTACGACACTAGGGAAATTTATAGTGGTGTGACTCTTGATCTGTGACACTACATCATTTAGTCAATTTTAAACTATTTCCAATGTTAAAAGATAAATTTAGTTTGGACTTTATAAAAAATATATGCAATTTAAAGAATCTAAAATTTTTAATTATTAATTTCACCTGAACTTTTAGATAAAGACCCTTATAAATCTTATGTTGACATATCAGAAAGTAGACCCTTATAACTCCCAAAACCTAGCTTATATTAGATATTTAAATATTTAGGCATTTATGACTCCCTGTGTGATGCCCCAAAGTCTAATTTGAAAGAATTATTTTTTTTATCTTTTAATAAATAATAACCAAAGCTATCTAATACCATCTATTAGTAATAAATAATAAAAATTGATTTCATAATTCAAAATATTATTGTACATATTTATATTCATTCACAAAATTATATAGACTGCTTAGGATCTACAATATCATCACATATATATCATGTTGTGAGTACAAAAGAATAATTAAAATAAAAAAATATAATTTGAAGAATCTTGACCAACTTTACACTCCTCCCCTATCCTAACCTGAAAATATTTAACCACATATAATGAGTTGAAATGCCTAGCAGGTCACCAAAACCTAAATTTTTAAAGAACAATAAAGTAGCAATACGCATGTCAACAGTCAAATTATAGTAGTGACATTCATATGATTATTGAATCAGCACAAAAACTGTAAAATTCATATGTAATAATAATATAATCTATAAACAATAAAATATTATAGTAAGGAAGCAATTAAAGCAGTAAACTAGTACAAATCTCAAATCTATAAAATAATTATCGTATTTATAATAAAAATTAATACATAAATTCGATAAAGTATAAAATCAAAACATTAATAAAGATTGTTAAAATTATGTCAATGCATTAAAATTATATAAGAGTGCACCCATATTATCTAGGTATTCTATATCACATACTTAGTATATAACATGCTTAGTATCAGTATCTAAATCAGTAAAAATAATAATCCAGTAGTAAGAGCAATAGAATAATACAATAAAAAAAAATTCATGTAGTAATAATAAATATGTATAATAATAAGAATAATGCCTCAAGAATATACATTTTATTAGTCACACTAAACAAGTAAGAAGTCCTGGCTATCACAGTATTTTAGTATTGTATCAGCATCAATAAATTACTAGTTTAGTAAACAGAGTCATCACTCTTTGTTAATCAGTATAATAATCATCTCCTTATAACTCTCAATCAGTGTATAACATGAATCAGTAAAAGATAACATGAAACTAAAGAACTTAAAGGAAAGCTCGTCAGCTCACCATCATGTACAGATCAATCAGCCTCTAACTAACGAATCAATTAATCTTTACTTTGCTTTACATACATTATTATATATCACATCATTATAACAGTAATCTCAAACACATGTCCATATTCATTTCTAATATATTATAGCAGATAATGCACAAGTTAGCTTAATTAAAAAAATATTAAAATGTCATAATGATAGACAATGAAAATCGTACTAAGCAAAAAATTCATATTTTTAGAATTTAACCAAATAATCAAATATTACATAAAATAATATTTTGAAATTTTAGTTGAACTAAATCATCATTTTTACATCAAAATAAATTTTTAAGTAGGCTAAAAATATTGTATTTTCGAAATCACCTGCTAAAAAATTCTCAAATAATAATTCAAAATATTCATAATATCAATCTCTATAATATACAAAAAATTACGTGATAAAAATTTTAGCTATACAAAATTATCGTTAGTTTTTTGTAACGAAAATTCAAATTTGAACAGAAAAATATTAAAAACATAAAATCTTTAAAATAAAAAATAGGGTAAAAATTTCTTACATGGAGACAAACAAATCTTACAACAGGTCCGACAGACAAAAATTGCTCGGTGACCTCTAAATTTGGATTTCTCCTTCTTCTCTCTTCCCCTTCTCTCTTAATTTCTCTAAAACCTCTTTATTAGCCAATTTTGTGATATTGAGAAGAAAAACAAAGTAATGGAATAAGATATTTTAATATATTATAACATAAATATTTAATTTAATCAAATTTTTTAATATAAAAATTATAAAAAATATTTGTGGATTAGGTTTGCAAAATGGATACCTAACGAGGTCACAAATTCTTCACTTGTCTTAATAGATGTCAATTTCTTAAGGATTTTTACCGATGCCCAAAAATTATGAAAAAATTTGTATACTTAAAATTCCACAATCACAATGCCTAGGCAAAGATGGTTTGTAATTTGAAATTATATGAACTCAATAAAAAAATTATTTACGTGGATTAAAAAACAAGTTATTACACCCTGTGCATATAGCACCAAAATCGCACATCTAGAACAAACCAGATCTCCACAAAACTGCAAATTTCAAGCCGATAAGCATATAAATCATTGCATTATAATAAAACATATATAAATAATCAATTTTAGAAGTTCAAAAAAAGTTTCAATGTTAGAAACCTAAACTATTTAGATAAGTTTATAATATTGCAAGATTACTAAAGATTATTCAGAACATTATTTTTAAAGTTTCAATTGCACCATGGCTTTATTTTTTTAGAATTATAAATATTTTCTAATTTATTAAAATCTCATTTTTTTTTTAATTTAAGTGGAGAAAATTTTTCAGAAAAATACCTAAATATTCATTACTGTTGTATTTATAACATATAGAAAGTTACATAATAAAAATTTTGTAGGTACAAAGATATCCTAGTTTTTTTCTTAAATGATTTATATTTTAAATTAGAAAACTCCTAAAATTCTTATATTTTTGAAAAAACTAAGATAGGTGAAATGCAATCTACCTTGATCCAAATAAAACTTCATGAACTGGGTTGATAGCAGAAAACAGCTCGAAGTTGCCTAAATCCAACTTTATCTTTATAAAATTTCTCCTTATCTCTCTCTAAATGAATTTCAGGTTTTGATAAAAATGAGAAAATAGCTTTGGATATTTTTATAAAAATTTGACCTAGCACTGCAGTGCTCAACCTTGCAGCGCCATAGCGCTCTCTAGGGTAGAGCATTGTGACAAAACACCCGAACACCCAACCTCAACACTGTAACATTAGCTTATTTTCGAGAAATCAGGTGGATAGCTCAATGCCACTGTGTTGCCAGCCCAATGTCACAACACACAAAATAAAAATTTCCATATTTTCATGTGCATGCAAAACTAGGACCCATTTAAGAATAGATTCAAGCACACTTACGCACAAAAACCACTCATAGATACATTCATAAGACATGAATGCAGAAATTCTACTCACTAGTTCGAGTTAGAAGAGGTGCAGCACCTGATGGATTCAACGGGTGTTACAATCAGTTATCGAGGTTCACAATTTTCTAAGCATTGCAAGTTATTACATGAAGTTTATTAGAGGCTTTTCAAAGATTGTAGTCCCTCTAACAAGATTTAACCAAAAGGTCATGCTATTTGAGTGGACACCATAGTGTAAATCAAGTATCGAGAAGTAGAAGAGATGTTTGGTGTCAACCCCAATGTTGATTATTCCGTGGGGTTCAGAAGGATTCTAGGTATTTAGTGATGCTTCTTTGAATGACTTGGGTTGAGTGTTGCTGAGAACGAAAAATATGGTGGCAAATGAAGCCACATGAGATAAATTTTACTTCCGCTAGCATTAGTCAAAAATCCTATATATACATAGATAACTTGTAAGTAAACCTATGAGATACCTAATTCAATTGAAATGTTAGAATTAAAAATCACGAGGTTTGATTCTTAAATTTACAATCTTAAAAAAAATCATATTCTCTTTTTATCATTAGTTCCTTAAGCTTTATCTATCATAAAGCTTTTTAAAAAGTTTTGAGTGACTTTTTTTTTCTTTTTGAAAACCAAAAAAAAAAAGTTTTGAGTGACTTGAATTGCAAGTTCAAACACATTAATATTCGTTAGGTCATCTCCAACCGAACGCTAAACGAGTGTATGGAATCGTTCCGTCGCTCCAACGGAACGTGAAAATTTCCGTCATTTAATCGCAGCTGAACAGTGCGACGCCAATATTGGCGTCGCGCTGTTCACTCGCGCCATTTTTTACTCTCAACCGGAAAAACGCGCGAAAGGGAGAGCGATCGTTACCTTCTCAAAAACACCTAAACTAGCGTTGGATTGGAGCATCACCGCGCCATTTTGCAGTTTTGCGTTACTTTGCCGTGAAAAACGAAGTTTTCGGTTGGAGATGCCCTTAGTCCTGAAATCCAAAATCATATAAGTGAAACAAAACTATCCAACCACTAGAACGAGATAGGCTATCATCAAAGATTTCCATAGCAATATCTTGTTATTATTGTAGACTGCTGCATTTTTCACGAGAACTTCAAAGAACAATGAAGGAGAAATCTCAAAGAGAGTAGAGCCCCAAATTTAAAGCCTGAAAACGAACCACAGGGATATTTAATGCATTGGAGACGATATCCATGCATTTCAAGGAACTCACTTCGATAAGATTTGCAGGGTCGATGCTACATCTGAACGTCTGCTCTTGAAAGAACTCTAGAAGAACACTTCGGACCGCCGGCATGTTACTGGAGGCCCCGGCGAGCACGACCTCATCCACGGTATCTCGCCTGACTCCGGCTTCCATCAAGCACCTCATGATTCCGCTGCGAAGATGGTTGAGATTCATCCGCACCAACCATTCCCGATCGATCGGTATTCTCGTCTCCCTGCCTAATCGCTCAAACGTAATCACCACGGTACGCGAGCCCAAACATAGGGCTTCCTTGGCGCGCTCGCATACATTTCGGATTTTATGGAGAGAATCGGCGTCACTGGTGAAGGCGTTTCCGAGCGTCATAGGAAGCACTGAAACCACGTGTTTGAAGAGTGGACAGCCCATGTCTGAAACAGAGGCCCTAATATTTAGACACGGATCTTCGGTGAGCAGAGAGATTTCAAGGATGTGACCTCCGAATTCGAATACGAGGACGGTTCTGCATCCCGGGGTGATAGATTCGTAATAGGAGGCGGCAAGAACCGACCTTTGGATGGAAAGGACAATGCGAGCTCCTGCGTCGTCGGCGGCGGCGGAGAGTTGTGAATGATACTGCACGGGGTTAATGTTGCTGGGGATGATGGCCATGAGGTTTGGGACCGGGCTGCCGAAGAGGCGTTCGATGCTGGCTATGCTGATCAGGAAAAATAAGGTGCGGATTTCGTGGGCAGAAAGGAATACTTCTTCGTTATTGCGATTGACGACCAAGAAGCGGGGAATGCCGTCGGGGCCAACATATTGCGGGATAGGGCAGGCGTGGCGGTACATCCAGGCTTTGCCGGCGGCGGAGTGGAGATGGACGAGGCAGTTGCCTGAACAGGAGATTTGAGAAGGATTTTCCATGGCGGGTTTCTTCTTGTCTTCTTGGCTTCTTTTCTTCTGAACTTTTGGCTTTACAAGAAGTGGAATTCCTGGTTTTTTAACTGGTGGTGTTGTTTTAGCGAGGGAATGCAACTTCGTTTGAGTTTGGAGCCATTTCTACGTTTATTTAATAGAATGGGGATTTATATTAACGGCACTAATTTTTTATCTATTAATTTATCTAATATTTATATTTTCATATTTAGTTATATATATTGATATGTAAAAAATATTACTAATACTAATACTAATACTAATACTAATATATATGTAAAACTCAAATCTTTAAAGGGAAATTTACATACATACCACTATATACCTGTTATTTTACATATTTAACACCTAATTTATTAATATTCCTCGGTGTTTACACTCCTCGAGTCACATCAATGCCCTTCAAGCCTACAAGATCCCATATGGGACTTCTTGTTTTTCTTTTTTCATCTTTGTAGGTTTTGCGAAGGTCAAAAGAGACATTACTGATAAAAATAATTGTTAACTTTTACTCCTAGATATGTAAATAGGTTAATTTTTAAGTCTCATGTATGTAAATAACCCTTTTATATTTTAATACATAAAAAATTGAAATTCTTTTTTAAATACGAGTAATGCTTGAATATTGAAATATATATTATTAAAGAATTAGAAAAAAATTATATCAATATGTTCTGATACAATTTACATCTTGATTGATTTGAAATCAGTTAAATTTATTTTGAAGTTGCTATGAAATAAATTCTTAATATGCACACTAATCTCAAATCCATCTTTGAACAATACCGTAATTTTTTTTTTTTTTTTTTTTTTGGGGGG